TTCTTCAGATATTTAGTATTCACTGTAAAACCCAGGCTGCTAGAACCAAGAGCTTTCATGAACTTCTGTACTTTAATTTTTAAAACAAGTTTCCAAACCTTACCTATGTACAAAAAAAAAAAAAGATAATGAGACCCAAATACCTAATTCTAAAAGCAAAATGCCCAGAAACTGAATAAAACAGAATTAACACGTTCTTTTAAAGAAGGATTTCATAATTTAAAAACCAGCTTTGGGGCACAGAGGTGCTGAATTTTTGAGGGCTTCCTATTTCCACTTCTCGATCTGTTTGGATAGGAATAGCTTGGGAGGCCTTCTCTGTCTCTTCTTTCAAAGTGTCACCTAAAATGTTGTCTGCAAATAATCAACTTATAACCTACTTTTTCACGGACCTAACTTCAGTTGCTTCACAATATTAAGCTTTCTTTCTCGCTTTTCTAGGGGAGACAAGTGCTTTGAACTGAAAACGTGTTACGGTTGACCAGCTTTATTTACCTTCCTAAAATCGTTTCAAACTCCTCTGCTGATAAAGAGTATCAGAGTTCACGATTTCCCATGCGGGTTACTAGGAAATGCTGCTTTTCTGGCAAGGCTAACACTGAGCCATCTAGCACAGCTGTAAACACAAACCCAAGCCTCTCCTCTCCCTAACGTTACAGACAGCTGATCAAAGCTCCAGCAGACAACACGTTCGGACTTCTCCCCGTTCCCACAGTCTTCTTTCAAAGTATTATTTGCAGGGCTGACATCACCGGGCCCAGCCGCCCCCACCGGCGGCTCTGCTCCTGCCCCCTGGCCCGGCCGCAGCCACCTCCTCGCCTCGGTTCCCTCTGCCCCCAGGGCCGAGAGCTCCGCGCCGCCGCAGCTGGCGCCGACCCCACTTCTCTCCTGTCCCGGCCCGGAGAGAGAGACGCGAGCCCCGCTTTCCTCGGCCCCGGGCAGGAGGGGTGGGGTGCACCCGGCCCGGCCTGCCCTCGGGAGGCGGGCGCAGGCAGCCGCTGCTCGGTCCCGGGCACCCTGACACCCTGCGCCCCCCCGCCCTCGGGGCCCCCCCGT